CTCTGCCCGGTACGTTGGGTGCAGGCCTGTAGCCGGTTGGGTCCGCGAGCGGTGCTCTGCTGCAGCTCCCGCTTCAGGGGTAATGTTGGCAAACTGCCTGTGACGGGAGGGGGGGAAGGCGGGAGATGCAACCTCAGCAACAACTTGCCATATGAACGGCTTTCAGTCGTGGACTGTGCATGAGTTAATCCTATTTGCTGCTCTCTCTGCAGAGGCAATGCCTTGCAGCAGTGGTCTCCAACCTTGTTAAGCACAAGATCCTTTTTTTGAACTTGTCAGTCCAAGATCTACCTCAAAGGAGGACGGGAGGGGGGGAAGGCGGGAGATGCAACCTCAGCAACAACTTGCCATATGAACGGCTTTCAGTCGTGGACTGTGCATGAGTTAATCCTATTTGCTGCTCTCTCTGCAGAGGCAATGCCTTGCAGCAGTGGTCTCCAACCTTGTTAAGCACAAGATCCTTTTTTTGAACTTGTCAGTCCAAGATCTACCTCAAAGGAGGATACATTTGTCCCCCCTTCCCTGCCCTGCTCCACTCCTTTGCCGAGGCCGCACCTTTCTCACTCTGAAGGTGGGGTCACTCTGTGAAGATGGGGTACAGGGGAAGGGGATGGAGTGACATCAATGCCCTTTGTCTGCTCCATTCTGCACAACAAGTAGGGGGCTCTGGGCAGGAGCAGCTGAAGTGCAGCCACTTGATAGCCTCCCAGCCAAGCCAGTCAGGATTACTTGTCAGAGGCTCCAAGATTTGCTGGTAGATCCTGATCTACTGGTTAGTGACCATTGCCTTGCAGGCACCAGTGGTCTGAGTTTAACTCCTTACTGGCATGCATGACAAAGCCTTGACTGGAGGAACCACCCTTCTGGGTGCAAGTCTGAGTCACCGTGATCCTTAACTGCTGCCTATTCTTAATACTGTAAGGACACAGTATTTTGTTGTGGTATCTTTTGTAGTTTGTCCACTATAAAATGGACCTAAGCCCTCAACTAGCTATCAGGTAGTGGAATATTTATCGTATGTAACAGTCCTCTATTTTCTTAAGCCATCCAAGTAAAGTGTTGGTTCAAGAAGTGTTGTTTGCTGTTCACTTAATGTTTACTTGACACATGTCCAGTGATTAAAACCTTTTCACTGCTGTTCACATCATGATCTGCTGTGATTAGTATCTGTTTGGATGAGGATATGTGTGTTTAAAAACTGGCATAAGGTGCAGACATCACTTAGGTGTAAGGCTGAATAAAGGTAGTAGGTATTACTAATGCAAATAATTGTTGCTGCCAATGTGTGATTTGTATTGCTGTAGTTTTAGGACGAAAAAAATCACTGTGTAAATATATGTTCTTATTTCCTTAAGAATTGTTCTGACCAGATCTGCCGTTCCAGCTTGGATTCTGGATGTTCATATTGCCTATTTGTTCAGGTGAGGGTTTAATTACGTGACTTTTTTGAAATAGAGCTAAATTCCCCTAGTTAAATTCAACATTTAAATACTATTGGTGAATCAAACATTAATTATGTTTAAAAATTAGAACTACTTTATTTTATCTTCCTTTTCTAGGAAGAAGCAGTAATTCCATTAAGTCTAAACTGCTTATAGAAGAAAGGATTTGGCAACTTGGAAGTGAATTGCAAGAAGGTTGGAAGGGCCCAGAGCTGTAAACTGATCATGGTATGTGTAAGTAGCCCTTTTCTCTGTGTGGTGTTTAGGGATGACAAATCCCATTTAATTAGTTAACTTGTCAAACTTACTTTAACCAGCTAACCAATTAAATGGGTGGGTGGGGGCTGGAGCACCCCCTGCCTTTGGTGTGTACTGCTGAGCTGGAGCAGCCTGCAGCAGGCCCCACCTGTTAAATCATAACTGGTAAGCCACACCAATTAAGGTGAAGTTACCGGTTAACCTTTTACATCCATACTGGTGTTGCTGAGGGAATTGCTAGTGAAGCTGAAGTTGGGAGATAGGAAGGAGCAATAATGGTCACTGTTCATCTCCTTGGTCAGATATCTTGTTCCCCCACCAGCAACTGCCTCTCTAAGTGGATTCCCCCCGCCCCGCCTATGAACTAGTGGCTTGTTTTTCTGCAAGCCCCAGAGTGTGCCTACACAAAGGGAATTTTTCTGTCAATGTACCAATACCACCTCAATTAATTACTTTTATGTTGACATAGGTGCATCTACACTTGGTGTATTATTGATGTAGCTATGTCAGTCCTGCATGTGTCTGGTTTCTTTCCACACCCCTGACGTAACTGAGTCAAAATAAAAAAGTATAGATCAAGTACCAAATATCAGAGAACCCACCTCACCCCATTTAATCCGTGAGTCCCTTACACTTAACATTGAACCAGTTAACTAATTAAGCAGGATTTTACAGCCTTATTTCCTGCTTTGAGTAGGTAAAAGTTGCTCACGCTGTGGTTCCACACCTAAGAAATAGAAATTTCTATGGGTGAGGGAGCACAAAATACTGTAAAAGGTGAAAATGAAATACCTGGAACTATGGAAATAAAATTGTCAACCTTAGAGTTAGAGCCCCCAAATTTTAAATGTGATTAGAGAGTAATTAACTTTATTTTCTCCAACTTTCGAACTTGATTGAGAATGTAGAGCAAGATGAACATGGTAAATTATTTTTAATGTATTAGGTTTTTGCCTACTGTCCAATGATTAAAACTTTTCACTGCTGTTCACATCATGACTCACTGTGATTAGTATTTGACTGGATGAGGACAAGAGGTAAAAAATTCAAAACGAGATTTTTAAAAGCATGTAAAAGTAATTGCATATTAGGAGATACAGAATTGTATTTTATGTAATTTATTTTGTTTGCATACCCAACAAAAGAACTTGTACTTTTCCTCCCTGGGAAATTATTGCTCTTCAAATTATGAAAGGTAAACTGAGACCATTCTGACTACACTTGTTGCCATGTGGGTAAATTTTAACACTTTGTTAATGTCTTAAGTTTGCTGATTCAGTTTGTGCCTAGGTATAAGTATCTTAGAACAGTGCTCTAGAGTATCTCAGTGCAACTTGGATCTGACCTTATTTCTGATTCTAAATTCCTGTGACTCTTGTTAGATCTATCATGTTTCTTAGTTGTCTAATTTCTTTTCTCTCAATGTTATTAATATTTTAACATGATAATTTTGTTAGATATAATGTCTTGAAAATGACAGTGGGCTAATTTAAAATCTGAACCAGACAATAATGAGCATGCTTTCTGAAATATATCTGTAAACATTTCATCAGTCTGTCTTAAGATATAAAATATTGTTTAAACACTTCTGGGTGGACCTCCTAGTTGTGGTTGTAAGGGCTGAGGGCTTTACTGTTCCATTACTGAGCTTGGTAACTTGGAGAGACAAGATGAGTGATAAACTTTTAGATGAATTACTGTTGCAGAAAGACAATCTTTCAGGCTTATAACAGAGTGGCTTTTCAAGTCTGGGGAACTTAAGCCCTCAACTTCAGTAAATCTTCCTATTAAGAGAAGACTCTTACAAATGTAGAGAAGGAGATGTTGATTTTCGTTAAATAATACCTATATCTATATTGCCAAAGATCTAATTTTTTTTTTACTTTTCAGGTAATTGTGAAAATTTTCTGTTCCATCTGAATTTCTATTTTAAGCTCTAGTGAAGATGGTTGAAAATTGAATTAACCTCCACAGTGGAAAAGGAAAGCAATGAGTACCTGACTGATTTTGGAATGTTTTTAGTGGAAAAGGTAGTGATCAAGACAAGAAATTAGTCTCTTAAAGTACTTGTTTCAACAGCAACTTGTGAATCTTGTGGGAGCTTGCTTTTTTTCGGATACTGTTATAAATGCTCTTCAGTTTTATTAATAAACATGATACACTGCCCTTGAGTTTTTAAATATGGTGTCTTGGCTTTATTTGTATCCTATAGAATAAGCTCTTCAAATGTGAATGAGCTAAGCCTAATAACATTCTGTAGGCTAAGAAACCCGTTTTCACCTTAGTAACTGTTAGTAGCATATATGATATATATTCCATCTAGGGATCTTAAATATCAGTTAATTGAATAGTTGGTTAACCTCATTAATTCTTATCGTTACTCCACTATTCTACAGTCCCTGGGGGTGTGGCTATCAGCCAGTGTGCTCTGGCCCCACTCCGAAGGAACTCCCTTGCACTCAGCACTGCTGCCTCTGTATCTGAAGCAGCTTGGTAACTTGGAGAGACACAAATCAGATATTTGAAATGGTAACACAGAAACCTGTTGGAACACTTTTAACTTGGCTGGGTACTCAGTGCATCAAAGTGACTCTTATAAAGCAATTTCAGAAACTAGAGGAAAAACTGGAATTTGCCTTTGCATGCAAATTTCACACATTAAACCAAGGATTGAACAAAAATATGAACTGGATGGGCCATTATAGTCAACACGCAAATTACATAAAAATCTAAGTATTGGGCACTAAACGAGCTCACTCAGTTATCCATGCTAAGTGAGGCTGCTTTAATTGATGAGTTCACCCTTCCCCTTCACTCCCCATATCTCCTCCTGTGCTATTTGCTTGTACCTCTGGACCCCTTGCTCCATCTGAGGAAATGAGTTGTGCTTACAAAAGCTTAATACTATCTACATTTGTTTCTTCGTCTCTGAGGTGTTGCAGGACTCATTGGGTTTTCTTTAATGCTAGTAGCAGTAGTCACAATACTCAGTATAGTGCTGTGGTCACCAACAGGTCGATCCAAGGCCTTGACCAGTCAATTGTGAGGCGACCAGAACCTCCCCCCATTTTCCACCCATCCCCGAGAAGCCCCAGTACGTACTTACCTCCAGTGAAAATGGAGGTAGTGCCAGCTTCCCGTGGGTGGATGGAAGTCCTGCAGCTTAGCGCCACTTCTGGAAGTTCCGGAAGTGCGCTGGTTGCTTTGCCAGGCGTGCTGCGGGAGAGAGGCCCTGGCTCCAGAAGTGGAACATGGTGACTTGCCTGCACCGGCGCATGAGGTGTGAGTTGTCCCCAGGGCAGGCGCGCGCAGGCTGTCTAGACTGGCATGATTTTGTGCAAAAGCAACTGCTTTTGTGCAAAATCTTGCCTATCTACACTAGCTGCGAGCATTTGTGCAAGAACATTGAATGTAATGTACAAAATCAGTGGTTCTTGTGCACTCGGCTGCTCCGGCTCAGGGATAAGCCCTCTTGCGCAAGAATACTTGCGCAAGAGGGCCAGTATAAACAGCCATGTTAATTTCTTGAGCAAGAAAGCCCGATGACTAAAATGGCCATCGGAGCTTTCTTGCGCAAGAGAGTGTCTACACTGGCACGGATGCTTTTTTTGTGCAAAAGGTGTCTTTTGCGCAAAAGCATCTGTGCTAGTGTAGGTGCTCTTGTGCAAATACTTTTAATGGAAAAGTTTTTCCGTTAAAAGTAATTTGCGCAAAATCATGCCACAGTAGACTCAGCCCCAGAGCTTGCACCTCTCATCCTTTCCCATACCCAACTCCCTCATTTCCACCCCAGAGCCTGTACATCCTGTCTCAACCCAGTGAGGGTCCGGCTGGACTGCAGGAGTTTTTCAGGATTCTAGAGATATCCCAGAAAAACACTTCTACATCCAAGGTTGCATTTGTTCTTCGTTTTGTTTGCTTTCCACTTAAAAAAAAAAAATTCTCTTCCGGTCACGGCTCTATTCCTCTTTCCATGAGGAATAAGGGGGCTTCCAAAAGAAGGGTTTTTGCTGACATCTGGTCCAGTCTAGAGAGGCCAAATGTTGGAAAAACCCCTTCCTACAGAATTTTTTTTTAAAGCAGTATAAAGATTGGGATAGCAAGTGATGGAGAGGAGGAGAATAGAGAGGGCAGGGGCGCTAGATCTTGGCTTGGTCTGTCATTTAAAAAGTGATCTGCAGTGTAAAATGGTTGGCGACCACTAGTATAGAGCATGGGTTCCTAAACTGGGGGTGTATGAAGAAATTCCGGGGGGCGGTGGGAGGCAACCCAGCCCAAAGTTGTGCTGTTGTTTTTGTGTTTTGGCCCAGGGTCAGTTCATTTATTTATTTATTTTAAATCCAACAAGTTTTGCTGGTATTGGGGGCAGGGGAGGCATGATTTTTGAGAAACCCTCAAAAAGGGGGGCATGATGCTGAAAAGTTTGGCAACCACTGTTATACAGGAAGAAATATGACCTTTCCATGAAAATGGCAAATAGCACTTGCTCACCATAGACATGGTGATCAAAATGCTTTGCACTTGATTGGGTTTGTTTGGTCTTCAGGACGTTCTGCTTTGGAGAAGCAAAGTACAGCCACGGGGGCTGCTGCTTGCTGCTACCTCTGCCTCAAGGCCTGAGTCTTGTGTTCTGTACTGAATAGCAGACTATTTTGGTAATGGAATTTGAGGGATCAGAAACATGAGCTTGCCAAATAGCTGTACGTGGTAAAAATGTGTGCTGTAGTGGGTGGGACTGTACGTTTTAAATAAGCCTTTGGGGCTTTTACCTAGCAGCAAAGAGGGGACAAACACTTCATTCTTTAACGGGGGAGGGAACATTTTAGGAGTGGGGGGGCTGTGCGTCCACGTGAGAAACCAAACGCTCTCTGAGGCAGCCTCTGGCTGAGAAGAGTGATAGAAATGGAGCCGTGTTAGTCTGGGGTAGCTGAAGCAAAATGCAGGACAACGTAGCACTTTAAAGACTAACAAGATGGTTTATTAGGTGATGAGCTTTTGTGGGCCAGACCCACTTCCTCAGATCAACTAGTGCAGGGGTGTCCAAACTTTTTTCAAAGAGGGCCAGATTTGATGAAGTGAACATGCTTGAGGGCCGACCATTTTGCCTGACATTCTTTGAACCATTAAAATTAAATGCAAATTAACTATTTTATGCAAAGTTTATTGCAAACGGCATACTTTTCATTTCGTCACATGGATGACCAATCTAAACAGGTGTTAAATCACTCTGCCTTTCATATCTGAAGGCCAGATGGAAAAAAAATCCAGGAAGCTGAAATATATGTCAGGAACATTGTAAAGTACATTACATATTATTGGTAATAAAGGTTGTCTGTCAACTTTTAAGTTCAAAAATTATGGACAGGAACATAACACCAAGTATACATGTTGTGTCCAAATATATTTATAATTGATTTAGACCAACTGACATTAACTGAGATTTTACAATGTATTCATCTCAATACATATGGATTCGTTGGGGGCCATAAAAGATAGATATTGCCAAATTACCTGTGGGGCCGTATTAAACCGGAACACGGGCCGCAATTGGCCCCCGGGCCGGACTCTGGACATGCCTGAACTAGTGGAAGAAAATAGTCACAACCATCTATACCAATGGTATCCTTTGGTATAGACGGTTGTGACTATTTTCTTCCACTAGTTGATCTGAGGAAGTGGGTCTGGCTGAGCCTGACCCCTCCCCACCAGCGCCTGAGGGGCGCATGCTGGCACATTTTGTGCGCTCCAGTCCTGCAGAAACAGGCTTCTCCCCGCCAGGAGGGGAGCCCTGAGCCTGAGGGGCCCCCAGCGCTGCTTTAAGGAGTCCTACGGGCCAGGCAGGGCGGCGGAGCCCCCCAGATCTCCCGCCAGAGGGGGAGCGCGCCTGGCCCGTAGCCAGGAGGGAG